ATTGTTCTAAAGCGTACGATCTTCACCTTCTTCGCGTAATCTCCTCCTTTGATACCCCTGCCGTCTTTAATCACGCTAAGCCTCTCATGCTTGTTCATTATCTTGAAACAAAACTGCAGATGCTTGAAGCCGGTTTACAACTTTGCACCTAATTGTGATCGCTCGTCGCTCCATATAATTTCGCTGATCCGATTATACTGAAAAGAATGATTTTCAATGTTAGCTTTCCTCTCTTCTCCGTTGCAGGTTCCTGTGATTCTTTAACGATGAAAGAAAATGCATTGATTAAACTGCTGTGATGACATACATCTTGTTATCACTTAATCAATGCATACCCAGATTTTAACGGTGTACATCTTGAACAACGCTTTTTTGAAAAATTTGTCTGTATTAACCTTCACATCCACGTAAGAATATAAGTATTTCTAACTGCGCAAATTTTTTTTGTGCTCTGTTTTGAATCTTGGCAGACAAACGTTTTACATTCAATAAAGTAAATGATATACATATGAAAAAAGTGAGAAATCAAAATCTACTTTAAATGTTTGCTTGTCAGGCTAAAGTATATGTACATGTGTATCCTTTCATACTATGTGATCTCACGAATGAATAGAAAATTTCCTATATGTCACATGCCTTGAAAACCTCGATTTCAGATCCATTAAACCACAGATTGCTCTGTATGGTCAGTTTCCATAAACTTCTCACTTTCATTGAAGTCTAATAAGTATTTTTCCCTAGTCTTCTAGCAACGACTTCCTTATATCATAAATATGAATATTTTTCATGTGTTTTGTTCGCAAAACACCCATTTCACGCTCCCGGGCAATGTACCTAATCTGAAAAATGTGAACTCTCCAGAGATTGTCTCTTTCTCGATATCAGAAAGGAAATCAAAGACAGACAACGATTATGGAAATCTTAAACTCTCTTACTCTTTTTGTGCGTTCGCTCCGTGGGATGGCATATACATAGTACAAAGGTACTCAGGTTAAGTTAGTAAAAGTGCATAACTTTCCTCTGTATAGAGGTGTCCCAAAACATGTGAGGATTGTTTGGAAGCCGGTAATTTTCAACTTCTTTATCTTTTTTTAGCTTTCATGATTTAGTAGGGTCGGTTTGAATTTAGATTTGCAAGTGCTAACAGGATTTGTACCTCTTTTCGTTGCAGTAGTAATATGGTAAAACGCTGTAA